AAAAAAAAAAATAATAATGCCTGTCTCCCATTTCTCATTGAAGGTGACCCTGACCACCTATGTGGCCTAAATATGTACCAACTTGGGAACCTCTGCTGCAAACTCTGCCCCACAGGTGAGTTCCAGGACAACTTCCAGAGCCTTCTGAGCTGACCTTCCAACCTTGGAGAAAGGAGGCTGCAGATCCTTATTTGGAGCATAATTGGAAACTCCTGCATGGGGAGAATGTGGTGGATTAGGGGTGGCTGGGTCTCTCCTTAGGAGCCCCCTGTGATCACCCTTCCACCCTACCTCTGTCCCTGGGGTGTAGGGAACACCTAGGTGAACAGAGAGGGGACCAGTGCCTGCTCTGAGGTGGACAGGCTGTGTTCCATGGGGCTCAGAGGACAGAAGTAGGGGGCACAGGGCCAGGCTGGAGGCTCCCACCTGCCCTTCCTTGGGGAAGACCTCAGGTGTGGCTGGGGTCAGGAGGTTCCTAGTGAGCAGGCAGCTTGATTCATCCTCCTGAGGGTGTTCTGAGGCCGGAGTTTGCCCCCTAAAGCAAGTGAGGAGCCAGAGCTCCACCCTCTCCACCTGTCAGCACCTGGTGGCTCTTCACTGCTGTTAGTACCTGGGCCTTCCTGGGAACTGCCCAGAGGACACGGTGGTACTTAAGCTGCTCACCACTACCCCTGCACAGGCCTGCACACGTGTACACACACACAACACCCCACATTTGTCCATAGCCTATGCCTCCATGGGGCTCCTGGTTCAGGGACCAAACGACCTCATGTTGACCATTCACGCCCCCCCCCCCGCCATATACTTCTGCACACAACAACTGTATGTGCACACACCTGTGTATTGCTCCTCAACTCCCACCTGCACTCATCACTACGTGCATGCATCTTTACACACCTGTATGTCCACATCTGCAGCACATTTGTACACATACACAGCTGTACAAAGATTTTGGGAATTGTAGGCAAACATTTCGGGGATTGTAGGCAGTCTCTGAGTTATAAACATAACTTGCACTTAGAACAGGGGCTATTGCAGGTAATAAGTAAATGTACCTGTTCCTGCTTATATACAAATTCAACTTAAGAACAAACCTGCAGAACCAAATCTTGTTAGTAATCTGGGACTGCTTATAACACGACATCATTTCCCTGACAGGAAACCTTCAAGTTGTAGTGGGAGTGGGTGGTTAGGCCTCTCCCCAGGAGGCCCTGATGGCTCGGCCGCCTTGACTATGGCTCTGCTGAAGCCCTTGAGACATGAGCACGGGGCGCTCTGCGTCCTGGGTCATGCATTCAGCCATTCTCTATTAAGTCGGACCCTGGGAGAGTGCAGGTGGGGACGGTGAACAGGGACCTGCCAGCATTCGGGTAGGCTCAGCGTGTAGCTGGGAAACGTCTGCTTATAGGTGCTGCAGGACTCAGGAAAAGCCAGGAGGTGACTCAGGTCCACAGTTCCTGGAACATGTGTGGGTTAAGTTCGGCATGGGAAATGTAGCTGGGCATCAGTCTTGACGTTGAAGGCTGAGGGATGATGCTACACGGGGGGTTGGCAGCACAGGTCTGTGGCAGAGATCTTGTCATAGACCTGGTCTTCCCTCACCACTGTCCCACCTCTCCCAAAGGTCACTATGTCAGCAAACATTGCATTGTGAACAACAGCCTTAGCAAGTGCAGTCCTTGTGAGCCCAACACCTTCATGGCCCACGCCAGTGACCGGCTTTCGTGTGACAAGTGTAATCAGTGCCGGGAAGGTAAGTACATAGCCACCACTGTCTACTGAGTTTTAAAACACGCCCTCAACTGCCTGGTTGGAATCTCTCTTCAGGAAGTTGCTACAGACACATCCAGAGTTGGAGCTGTCTCAGTCTCCCTGAGTGTTGGGTTTTGAGGCGAACAGTTGGTTAGGGTTTTTGCTTTTCTCATGATGATGCATGTATGTGGTTAAAGAATCAATCTACACATTATTAGAATTTTTCTTTTCTTTTTTTTTTTTTTTTTGAGACAGTCTCACTCTGTCTCCCAGGCTGGAGGGCTGTGGGGTCATAGCTCACAGCAACCTCAGACTCCTGGCTTCAGGAGCTCCTCCTGCCTCCCAAGTAGCTGAGACCACAGGTGCCTGCCATGACACCTGGCTGATTGTTAAACTTTTTGTAGAGATGGGATCTTTCTGTGCTGACCAGGCTGATCTAGAACTCCTGGCCTTATGTTATTTTCCTGCCTTGGCCTCCCAAAGTACTAGAATTGTAGTCATGAGCCACCACGCCTTGCCGTACAAATCATTAGGATTTTTAAGACTATTTACCAAAATGATCATGTACAAAATTAATGTATAAAAGTTCATATAAATGTCTATATACCAGCAGCAAATTGTTTTTTGAAAATGTAGTTTTTTAAAAGATATTATTTACAATTAGCAAAAAAGAGGAACAGGATGCTTCAGAATATATAAATCTAGCAAAGGATGTGTAAGATGTTTATATGAACAGACTGCATTTAAGAAGATCTAAATATGTAGGGAGATATAGAAAGCTCGTAGATGGGACGACTCCCTGTTTAAAAGATGGCACTTCTCTGTGGAATGGTCCTTACATTCAGTGCATTCCTAATGAAAATTACAGCAGGAATTTTCTGAAACTTGATAAACTAACCTCTCTCAGAATGCTGCCGAAGAATAAAAGAGATAGCACGCTGGCCTCCCTGATAACAGCAACACTTTATATAAGAGACAATTAAGAGAGTGTGATATTGGGCGGCTCCTGTGGCTCAGTGGGTAAGGCGCCAGCCCCATATACCAAGGGTGGCGGGTTTGAACCCTGCCCCAGCCAAACTACAACAAAAAAATAGCCGGGCGTTGTGGCAGGCGCCTGTAGTCCCAGCTACTCAGGAGGCTGAGGCAAGAGAATCACCTAAGCCCAGGAGTTGGAGGTTGCTGTGAGCTGTGATGCCACAGCACTCTACCAAGGGCAATAAAGTGAGACTGTCTCTAAAAAAAAAAAAAAAACCCACAAACCATAGGTAAGATTAATAAATGTGACCACTTTAAAATTATAAGCTTTGTTTATTAAAAGACACCCAAACGTGGAAACTAACGCCATGATACTTATAATTTAACCAAGTCAGTATCCAAAGCATTAAAAAGATGCTTACTAATCGATAATAAAAAAGGTTTGGAAAAATTTTAACGGGGAGAGACATAGATATTTCAAAGACGAAACATAAATGGTAAAAAACATACAAAAATGTGGGAGCAAAAGGATACACTATTTCGTTTCTACCAGGGTGAGGGATTTAAGGTGTTACACCAAGTGTCTGTGACAGCAGTGGAGATTCAAACTGGAGAAGTGGGGATCAATACAGCTACTCTGGGAAACCTTTCTGGCTTAATCAGCAAAACTGAAAATGTTCCTAAACTCCCACTCACCTCTTCCATGCTCCACCTAAATTGGAAAAGTTCATGGCCATGTATGGTTGCCCAGAATCACCCCAAATGCTCTTAGACAGAGAACTCCATTGTGGTACATGTCATAGCAGCGAGAGCAGACGAGGTCCCTGCGACAATGAGACAACACGGGGCCATAGAAGGCCGTGCCCAGCATGGTACCTCTGTCCACTCAGAAGCACGTCCTGCCCTACACACCCAGTGAAGGACCCTCAGGAGGGCAGTGCAGTTTGAGAGAGGATGAAGGCTGACTCGTGCCTTGGGTGGGATACAGGTGTGAGGTCCCACTTTGTTTTTATCTCTCTTAGTGTTGTTGCTTTTTGAGACAGAGTCTCACTATGTCACCCTGGGTAGAGTGCCCTGGCATCACAGCTCACCGCAACCTCAAACTCCTGGGCTTAAGTGATTCTCTTGCCTCAGCCTCCCAAGTAGCTGGGACTACAGAAGCCCACCACAATGCCCAGCTGTTTTTTGGTTGTAGTTGTCATTTTGGTGGCAGGCCCGCACTGGATTCGAACCCGCCAGCTCCTAGCTGCGGAGCTATAGGCGCCAAGCCACGTGTAGTTTTTTAAATGTGTTAGAGGAGAAAGTGTGGCATCTGCTTTGTGAAGCTCTTCACCCTAGAGTTTACACATTGCCATCCCAGACGTTTGGTGGGTGGGGTGCCGTGACTCCATTGTGTCGTGTGGCACACGGGTGTGTGGGTATGAGTGTGAACAGGCTGCTGGGAGAGTGGCTATCAGTGTGACTGGGAGGTGTAAGCAGGCAGGATTGCAAGGTGTGTCCACTGCCCACTTTTCCCCATCTGATGTTTTGTTCAGACAGAACACGTGGTAGTTGTAGTCTTTCCCCTTTGGGGGAAAAACAAGATGAAAGGAATGATTTGGGGCTGTTTCTGAGAGGCTGGCTCTATGCCTCCCCCAGCCTGGCTTACAGGGGTACCCATGAGCCTCTTCACAGACACCCTCGATTGCAAGGAAGCAGGTCCGGCCATCACCTTTCACGGCCCCTGTGCTTACAGACCTATAAGGGAGGACTGCACCCAGGATTGAGAGCTACGTCGCTTATGGTACATCCCCTGGTTTCTGACCCTCAGCCTTTCCTCTTTGACAGACCAGGAGATGGTGGCTGAGTGCTCCCCAACCAGTGACCGGCAGTGCCAGTGTAAATCGGGCCGCTTCTGCGACTCTGCAGACTGCGTGGAGAGCTGCTTCCGCTGTAGGAGGTGAGGGGTGGGGGCAGGGGATGGACTTGGGTCCCCACTCTTCCACTCATATTTGTTTGCCTTTGGGTCGCTTCCATGAATCCCCCCAACCTCTGTTTCCCCATCAGTAACATGGGCTAACAGGGTAGCACCTGCCCCACAGAGGTATCCTGAAGACTGAATCACACAGGTCGCCTGGATGTCTCCACCTGGCACCTGCCTGGAACCAGTGCTCATTTGCTCATTCCTACAATGACTGATCACAGTGCCCTGCTGTGGCCTGCGGGTGGTATTGCAGGTGGGGAGAGGGGGCAGCAGTGGGGGGATGAGGGCCATGGGAGCTCTTGTAGACTCGGGTCAGGAACAGTCTCCTGAGGTGGCAGCACTGGAGAAGAGGCCCAAGGGAGAGGAAGCCTTAGAAGGTTCTGAGGGGAGAGAGCTCAAGGCAGAGAATGGTAGGACCTTGTGTCCAGAGCAGAATGACAGTTACTGTCACTTTATTAGTGACACTGCAGCTGCCATAACAAATGATCACAAACTGGATGACTTAAAAAACAACATAAATTTATTCTTTCACAGTCCTGTGGACCAGACATCTGAAATCAAAGGTGTCGGCAAGGCCTCACTCCCTCCGAAGGCTCTAGGGAAGGGTCTTCCCTCTCCTCTTCCAGCTTCTGGTGGTGGCTGGCAGCCTTGGCTCATCACGCATCTCTCCAGTCTCTGCCTCACCTTCAGTGCCTTCTCCTCCCTGTCTGGGCTTCTCTGTCTTCACTTGGCATTCTCTCTGTGTCCAAATACCTTCATAGACAGACACCAGTCATGGGCTCAGGGCCTACCTTCCTCCAGCGTGACTTCATCTTAACTATATCTACAAAGACTGTATTTCCAAATAAGGTGACACTCTGAGGTCCCAGGTAGGTGTGAATCATAGGAAGACATTCTGTGGAGACACTTAAAGTGATAAAGCCCCCTTGGGGATAGCTCCTGTTAAACACAACTGTTGACTTATATGCACTTGGTAAGTCCAGAATAAGGGCTGCCTTCAGGTCTGCTTGGATCAAGGCACCAGCATCTCTATACTTGCAGGCCTTTCCCCTTCTCTGGTCGGTGTTATCCCTGGGCTGACTTCCCTCTTGGCAGAGGTGTGGCTTTGGCAGAGCCAGTCCTCATTGCTAAGTGCTCCTCTGAGAAAAGGGAGGAGAAGTTTTTCCCCCAGATGCCACAGAGGACTGTTGAGCTTCACTTCCATTAGACCAAGTTGGGTCGCATAGCCTGGGAAATGCCAGGCACTGATTGCCCAGAATGTGGCAGGGCTGTCTTGGGACCAAAGCTTGTCCCTCCTAACCCTGCCTGTGGGTGCTGATGAAGATACTCTGAGTTTAGCCTGGGTCACAGAGGTTAACTCTCAGGGTTTCCTTTCAGGTGTCCTGAGGGCAGTAAAGTCCTCTGGCCATGTAATGCCACAGCAAACACAGTATGTGCCGAGCCTGAGCCTGAGGCTGATCCAGAGTCAGGTAAGGGGCTGATTCTGTCTCTTTAATCAGCTGAGCAAACCTTTTCTGGTAGGTTGTGGATGTTAAGTTTGCAGGCTACATGGTTATCACTTGTCATGTCTGCCTCCTTAGTAGAAACAACCAGAGACAGTAAGCAAATGAATGTGTTTGGCTGTGTGGCAGTAAAACTTTACTTACAAAAACAGGCAGTGGGACAGATTTGGCCAGTGGGCCCTGCCTTCAGTGAACACACAGAATCCTTGAGGATGAACAGCGGCTGCCCCATCCTTCCCCGAGTTCAGCCTCCTGCTCCCTGTGCTGCCTTCTGCCTGCTCCCCATGCCAGGATGGAGCTTGGCACGTGAGGTGTGAAGGGGCTATGACAGCAGTATCGACCTCAGCCACTCTTCCTGTTTCCTCCTGTTCTTTCCTATAAGCCCCATGCTGTCAAGGCCCCTACCCTCATAGGCTCTCAGACGTGACTTGAGGAGGGCCGTGCCCAGGGCAGAAGTGGTGCCAGCAGCTTGGTCCCCTTGTGTTAACCACACCTGTGTGAGATACTTGCCCATTTTTATGTTGGATTGTTTGGGGTTTTTCTTTCTTTCTCATTCTTAACAACTATTTATAAAAGTTGGTCCTGATTTATAAACTTGGGATATAAGCCCTCTATACTGCAAAGAGCTTACCCCACCCTACCCTGCAGGGTGTTTTTCCTAACCTAGGGTGTCCCCTGATGGACCAGAGGTCTCACTTTTAGTGTGAGACTTGTCACCACTTTCCTGTGCTGTTCTTTGCATCCCTTGTGGGCCTAAAGCTTTATCTTGTTGCTTTTCTCACTTCATTTTTCAGTGAACCTGGAATTGGTTTTCTGCAAGGTGTGAGGAAGGAGCTGGACCTATTATGGTTCCCTTGCATGTTTATGCAAATGGTCCCACACCACGTGGGAGGAGAGAGGCCCGTCCTTTCCATGTTCTCAGCATCACCTTGTCACAAACCCAGCGTCCATATAAGTGTGGGACTTGGGCTGGGGCTACCTTGTCTGCCTTCCGCAGCGTGGTCTGGACTGCTGTGGGACTTTCGCTTGTCAGTTTACATTTCAGAATCAGCTCATCATTTCCACACCAAAAAAATTTAATTAGAATAACATGTTAAGGCTAGGCGCCTGTGGCTCAAGCGGCTAAGGCGCCAGCCACATACACCTAAGGTGGCGGGTTCGAATCCCCAGCCCGGGCCCGCCAAACAACAATGACGGCTGCAACCAAAAAATGGCCAGGTGTTGTGGTGGGCGCCTGTAGTCCCAGCTACTTGGGAGGCTGAGGCAGGAGACTCACTTGAGCCCAGGAATTGGAGGTTGCTGTGAGCGTGATGCCATGGCACTCTACCCAGGGGGATAGCTTGAGGCTCCGTCTCAAAAAAAAAAAAAAGAATAACATGTTAACACTTTAACACTTCTAAAGGATCTATTAATACAAAAAAAAAAAAATGGGTCTAACCTGAAAATAAAGAAAAGCCTTTAAATTGATGGCATTGTGTGAACACAGGGCTTCTGTTGCTCATGGGGATAACCTGGGTGCTGCTGAGTATCCACGCCCCTAGATGGCCCGTCCCCACCTCTCTGTGTATCTGTGTGTTCTGGTTCTGGCTTTGCAGCAATTCTGCCAGGGGTGAAAACAGCCAGCCAGTGGTCTCACCAGGTGTCTCCCCACAGTTGGCCTGCCCTGTCCCTTGGGCCACAGCGGCCAGGCTCTGCTTCTACCAGGTCAGCATGTTGGTGTTAGGGCCTATGCCTAAGACCCTGCTCGCTGTGCCAGAATGTTGCCGTAAGGGTCTCACGGAAAAGCAATGTCGCAGAGAATAAGCACGCTTATTGAAATTGTGTTTTAAATAAAGGTGACCATCTGCTTGCTCAGGCAAAATGGGGAGCTTCTTTATTTGCAGTTGGTTTATATAGGGAATTTGTACATGAGCACAATGCAGCAATAACCTCGTTGATCCAATTAAACATCATGTAACATCTGATAATCCACTCAACACATATCTTTTACCATCACCGTATCAATATAACCCAATCTTAATGGAGAACATGTGGTTAGCCATTACTTCTTTGTTCTTATCTGATGAAGCCTGAGGCTAGAGAGGAACAAGGTAGATCGAATACCTACCCTTGCTGACCTTGCCATTTGGAGGCTGTTACTTCAGATCTTTAAGCAAAGAATAGAGAATCTTCTTGGGCATACAGGAATTTGTGTGCAAACCTCTGCTCCCACATAGGCTTTAAGTCAGGGGTTTTTTGCTGGAGCCTTTTATAATGAGTTCTCAGGCTGATCTTCTCAAAAGCCTTTCATGAGCCCAAGTTTCATCTGTGCCATTAGATACCTTTATGCATTGGGTAAATTCCTTTTCTCTTGAGGTCCCATAGCACATTTTCATTCCTGGCCCTGTCAGCAAGCGACCTTCATCACTTACCACAGATCAGGAAAGGTTACTGATGGGTATCTGGCCAGTTTTCCAAAGGGATTTTTTATTGGCCTGATGAAGTCAACCTTAGGTTAATACCTTAACACAGTCTGGAGATGCTATTCCAGCCAAAGCCTTGGTAATGTTAGGCCTGCAACTAACCCGGCCATATGGGATTCTGCCTCAGTTTCTCACAAGTATGCCTGCACAAAGTCTTTTCACTGCTCTCTCTCAAACGACTTTTTTGGCCAGAGGCATATAGGCATTTCGCCTATATCAGCATGTCCTCTCACCCCCTGGCTCCCGGGCTTTGCCTCCTGCTCCCCAGGAGCACTCACATGGGACCACCCCAGATGGCAGAGCCTCTTGCCGCCATTCTGGGGGGACAGACCTTCTATCCCTTCCAAGGACCTGAGTAACACCCACATGCTCTGAGCTTTGGGCTGGACAGATGGTGATAGGGAATGGGGACTTTCTGTAGCATGTCACAGCTGTGCTTAGCTCTGCCATGAACTCTCTTTTGCCTCCTTCTAGGAAACAGAAAGTTGTATTATTTGTTCTTCCTCGTCATCCCTATACTTATTGGCATAGCCATCTACTGCTGTAAAAAGAAAGGTAAATTAGAATTAGATTGATACAGAGAAAAACAGACCAGTAACCTCATCAATAGCTGGGAAATGGGGCACTTCTGTGAGGCCCTTGCTTTCTAACTGGGGGCAGCTTGGTGCTCAGAGGTGGGCGGGAAGCCATCCCCTGGGAGGCAAGACCAGAGTCTTAGCTGGGCATGAGCTGTCTGGGGGCCGCTGTAGCTGGGGAAGGCAGGGGTGGGGCATTGGGCAGAGCACTGGCTGAGCTCCCCCTCCTGTGTTCTCCTAGGTATCTCATGGATCACCAAGCGTATCAAGCGTAAGTACACTTTACACTTTCTGTGTGTGAGTTCAAAGTGTTTTGTTATTCTTGCAGAAGTCATTCATCTAGTTAATATGAATTAATTCCACGTCTCTTGGTTTTTATTTTCAGAAGAGTCATATAAGCCAGGCGGCCCTGTAAGTATCACATTGGAGTTTGGGCACATCTTTCCTAGAAATGCCTAATGGTCTCAGCCCCGCTCTGAGTGTTTAGGTGTTGGTGGCAGTAAGGGTCATAAAACTTGCAGGAGAGGGCCAGGCTCAGTGGCTCACGCCTGTACTCCTAGCATTCTGGGAGGCCGAGGCTGGTGGATTGCTTGAGCTCAGGAGTTTGAGACCAGCCTGAGCAAGAGTGAGAACCAGAGTAAAAGTGAGACCCTGTATCTACTAAAAATAGAAAAACTTGGCGCCTGTGGCTCAAGCCGCTAAGGCGCCAGCCACATACACCTAAGGTGGCGGGTTCGAATCCCCAGCCCGGGCCCGCCAAACAACAATGATGGCTGCAACCAAAAAATGGCCAGGCGTTGTGGCGGGCGCCTGTAGTCCCAGCTACTTGGGAGGCTGAGGCAGGAGACTCGCTTGAGCCCAGGAGTTGGAGGTTGCTGTGAGCTGTGATGCCATGGCACTCTACCCAGGGGGATAGCTTGAGGCTCCGTCTCAAAAAAAAAAAAAAAGAAAAACTAGCTGGGTTGGTGGCAGGTACCTATAGTCCCAGCTACTCAGGAGGCTGAGGTAAGTGGATTTTGGAGTGCAGGAGTTTGAGGTTGTTGTGAGCTATGACACCACAGCACTCTACCCAGGGTGACAGAATAAAACTCTGTCTCAAAAAAAAAAATAAAAAACTTGCAGGAGTGGGTGGGGTGCCAGGGCTGTGCCCTCAGTTCCAATTCATGTGCTGGCATTTGCCTCCCTCATTACAGCCAGAAGACTGGAATTTGGATCAATTTGACCACTGAGTGGAAACTGAGGCACGGGGGCGGGGGGAGCTTTCAGATAAGTTGCGATCATAGGTATCAGGGGTCAGGACATGGACATAGCTTTTTAGAGGCCATAGTTCAGTCTGCATCAGGCTTGTCTCGGAACCTGTGGGTTGGTAGCAGAGCTGGGGCCTCCCTGGGTGTGGTGGTCTTGTCTGAGCCTGCATGGTCTTGGCTTACAGCTGCCTGGCATTTCTCTCTCCAAAAGTGACTTGGGTGGGGACTGTGTTGCCATCTCCTTTCACCAAAAGTGACTTTTGTGCTTTAGTCTGCTGGAAACAGCAGGCCCCATGAACCCCTGCTCACCCTGCATGCTGTGAGAGACCAGTCAGCCCCCTGTACAGAAGTGCTGCTGGGTGAAGAGAGTTCTGCTGTGGCTCCAGAGGCCGAGACCTGCCCTGGGTCCTCCGAGGACCTGGCAGAGAACCCTGTGAGGCAGGCCCTGGTGACTGAAGGAGGCGCAGCTGCCCCAGAGCTGGCTCTGCACCCCCGTCCTGCTGCCCTTGGGTCCCAGGGCCACACCAAGGCGACAGCCCCCCTAAATGTTCTGGAGCAGGTAAATGAAGCTTGGGATGGTTCCCCATAATGACACAGTCTGTACTTTTTGGACACTTTCTTTATGTGGTTGAGACAAACAAATAAGAAAGAGAGGGCAGGACCCTAGCCTATGTTGTCAAGAGGCACTGATGGGGCAGGGAATGTGCTGTGAGGGTGAGATTGTCGCCGCTCGTTTCACCGGTGAGGCAGCTGTGGCAGGGAGAGGGGTGCTGAGGTGGACCAGCAGCTGTCAGCTGTCAGTAGGCAGAGCTGGGATTTGACACGCCCCTCCTTTCCCCAGGTCTGGCTCCAGGCCCTTAGTGAAGGGAGGGAGCACCTGACCTTATTCTGGCCTTTGGACTTGTCTCCAGGAACATCCCCAGTAAATGGACTGTGAGGTTCTGGCTGTTCTTGAACATGCTCAGATTTCTCTTAACTAGAAAACCATGTTTAAGTCAGTGACACTTTTCCATAATGCATCTATCTGGACAAGTATCCCCTCCATTAGTATTGTGGAAGTCCAGAGTAGAGCAGATCACCCCCAGGAGACATCATCTGTTACCAGCAGACCCCCCAGTCCAGGGAGAGTCAGAGCCACTTACGGTGGCCCTGACAACAAAAGTGTCCAGCCCGGGCATCGGCAGTGTCCCAGGAAAGTATGACTTGGAGGATGTGGGTGGGCTGTGAGTCTCTACTACCTATAGTGGGAGCACAGTGGGGTGCTTCCTGTGGGTGAGCCTGTTCCTGTGTGGCCCACCTGCCACCACACAACAAAGCAAATCTAGTTCTGTGACAGTAGAATTTGTCTAAGGTGCTGGACAGGTTCCTTCTCCAGGAATAATTTTATTTCCTTCCCTCCTTAGGAGTATGCAAAAACGTATTTTCTGAAGGATACGTCCACTGAAGGTAAAGGAATTTGAATTTTTCATATCTGGCACCTCCATTTGGCAGACTTAACAAGATAGCAAGAGCCCAGAGGTTACACTGCCCCCGGTTGCAGATTCTAGTGCTGGCTGTCCTGACCTGCCAGCGCCCTCCTTAGTGGCAGGAAGGCAGAGTGGGCTGCCCTGAAACAGACTGACTGCCCCTAGGAGTCTCCTGACTTTCCTCAGAGCTTCCAGTTCCCAGGAAGGCCAGGGTGACCCATGGTCCCACAGTGATGGATGGGCAGCAGGCAGGGTGAAGATTGTGGGAGGTCCTGGCCCAAATGTGGTCTCCGATCCTAGGGCCTGGTCCCTTCTTCAGGATCAGCTGGAGCCACACAGAGCCTCCCACATCCTAAGCAGCAGAGTCACAGCAGTCGCTACTCAGTTTTTCTAGAAATGTAAACAAACTCTTCATGGTTTTTTTTTTTTTTCTGCATAGAAAACACAGGGTTAATAACAGCCACTATTTACTTAGCACTTTTTATATGCAATGTCATGACAGTCATGGCAAGTAGAATTCATGCCCATTTTATTCCAAGAAAAAAACTGAAGCTCAGAGAATCAGAGCATTGCTGAAGCTGGAATTAGAATTCCTGGCTATCAACTCCAAAGTCTTCTCTGAACCATTATACATGGATTATACTACCCCTCAAACATATCTTTTAAAATCCTAGTTTCCCAAAACAAAAAACCTAAATGGTCACATCTTTTGTAGATAAAGACCTGTTAATTTACCCAATACATTTAACCACTTTCTATAAAGTTTCTTGTCTGAAGGAGACTGGCGGCATTACTATTTATAGTTATACTGCTAATTAACCTTCAACTATCTGTATAGCACATAAGAACTCTTCTTGGTTTTGTTTTGTTTTTTAGCTACCAATAGAATTTTTTATGAAATTGGACATGAAATTCCAAAAGGTACCTGGAAGATGTTCATGAGGTTTATCGGACTTGAAGAAAATGATATTGAAATCTGTGAAGATGAAAATCCAGGAAATGTGATGGAACAGCGTCAAAGGATGCTTCTCCGGTGGAGAACTATCCTGGGAAAGGATAGTTCTGTTTTTAAACTCATGGCTGCCCTCCATAAACTGCAGTTGGACATGCCTTTGCAAAATATTATAAACAGACTGGTTGCTGAAAACATCTTAGGTAGACATGCTGGGACCCCAACTTAGATTCAGGTATTTTGGGGCACATTTGATATTGAGCGATATCCTAGATGAACAGAATGTGAGGTGCTTCTGTGAATTTCAGTCTTATTGGAAACTTAATGGATTCCTGATGAGTCTACATCCCATCGCTGAAGCTTTCAACAGAACATTTTCTGTGTAAAGCTTTCTATGGGAGTTGGAGGGCTGTCCTTGGACTGTGTGGCTGAGTTGGGCCTACAGGGATTCCAGAGGGCTGTGAGCTGTGGAGGCAGGAACCAGCTACCTATGCCCATTCAATGTCCTGGACCTCTTCCCCAGGAGCCGAGGTGGGGAGGATTTGTTTTTGGCTTTCTGCCTTGCCCACTGGTTCTCATATTCACTGTGATGCTCCCACGGCTTGAATGAGGTGTGCAGACTAGGTGCTCCATAAGTGTGTCTGAGTAAGTGAGCCACAGATGCAAGCAACTTGCAGCTGGGGATGATGGTCTGATAGTCTCCATAAGCCCAGGTCAGAGTCAGTGCTTTCAGGCTACCACTTGGGACTTCAACGTGAGGTTAAGATTGAATTAGACTAGACCCCATCTTCTAAACCAGGATGAGCAGGGTGAGGCATGATGCCCATCACAGAGACTTCTTTAGTGCCTAAGCTTTTAAAGTATTGAGTGTCTCTGCTTCTGGTCTCTTGGGTTTTGGCCACAGAACCCAGATGATGAAGGGAACAACATTTTTGGGAAAGTGTCACAGTAAGATGTACACATCGTGCCACTGCTAATGGCTCTATGGCCTGCCACCTTCTAAAGTCACAAATGTGGCTACCCTGCCAAGGGCAAGAGAATGTATAACTGGAATGCCAAGGCTAAAAGACAAAATACCAATGGGACTAGTTGGATGAGGCGGCTATAAATTGTGCATCTCAGACAAAAAGATACCAGGGCTGCACCCTTCTCCAGGAACTGAACTGTGCTTCCATTGCAACTTTAGAAATAAAAAAATGCCCTAGAAAGAGGCCTCTGCTGCGACTGTGCCCTCACTACAAAAAAAGAGACACACTGAAAGTGGAAATTACCCTCTCCTGGAAAAAAATTACCCACACCTTCCAAACCAGTGGGTCCCCCTGAGCTGGCACCCTCCACACTCATGGACCCTCTGGGACTGCTTCAGTCTGATGGGCTTAGAACAGACTCAACTCCATCACACTGATTTTAATTAAGACCAGAGCCACATACTGAATTTCCAAAACCTCTGTTTCCTTCCCCTATCTCCATTGTCTGGGTAAAAGGTAAAATATCCCTGAGTATTCTACTGCTCTTCTCCCTGAGAGAGCAAGTGTTTACTCCTTTTCTGACACTTCCCTATCACCCTAACCCTGACTAAAAAGAGACCTTAAGGTTAAATGTAAATGCCTGTCTCCTTGTAACACCTCAGGCTGTCACAGAACAGCTGTGTTTGCTTTTTTCATTTTGTTCTGGCCCTCCCTCCCCCGCCCCACAAAGCTGACTTTATTAGATTCCTTATAATATCTTCCTGGCAGGAACTGAGGCAAAGAGCTGGAGCCAGGAGCTTGTGCCCCAATTGTCTGCTTGGGGTTCTTCAAGGCTGTTAAAATGAATTCTTAAGCCACAGGGGTTTAATGAAAACAAAGGCAGCTGTGCTATGAGTTTTTCTTAAGTCACCCGTTGTAGAGTGCTGTTGCATCTTAGCTCACAGCAACCTCAAACTCTTGGGTTCAAGTGATCCTCTTGCCTCAGCCTCCTAGATAACTGGGACTACAGGCACCTGCCACAACTCCTGGCTATTTTTTTTTTAGTTTAGCAGGCCCAGGCTGGGTTCGAACCTGCCACCCCTGCTACATGGGGCTGGGCCTGGCACTGTAGCCTCTGAGCTACGGGTGCCCCCTGTGAATTTATTCTTTCTGTTAGATAGCTTATTTTCCTGGTTAGGTTATTAGTAAGGCCACCTTAAATTCTCCCCCCATCTTCGGCTAAAATTAAATTTTTTATTTAATGAACTCAGAAACTGGAGTATTTGAACAAGGGTGTAGCCCATTGACACTACCAAGTAGCTTCATAATAGAAATGTCTTTTTTTTGAGACAGGAGCCTCAAGCTGTCCCCCTGGGTATAGTGCTGTGGCATCACAGCTCACAGCAACCTCCAACTCTGGGCTCAAGCAAGTCTCCTGCCTCCATCTCCCAAGTAGCTGGGACCACAGGTGCCCGCCACAACGCCCAGCTATTTTTTGGTTGCAGCTGTCATTGTTTGGAGGGCCCAGGCTGGATTCGAACCTGCCACCTTGGGTGTACGTGGCTGGCGCCTTAGCCACTTGAGCCACAGGTGCCGAGCCTAGAAATGTCTTTCAGGCTGCCCAGGGTGTAGAAAATACACAGTACATGGTGGAGATTATCTCTTGTGTTTAGTAGAGTGGAAAAGTTAGCTGCCAACCTAGCACTGTGATTGTACTTACTTGGGAAAAATTTGTCTTATTCTGGTGATAGTTTCACCTTATCTCTTATTTGGGTGGGTGGGAAAGAAAATTTGCTTCCCAAGTTTTATGTTTTCTTGTAAATACACATTTTGTTTCAGTAGGATGCCCCTGCAGGAGTCCTCCTCCTGGGTATTTCTGAATTGTGTTGTGTACACGTGTTTGAGAGTTGGAACAGCTCATCTTTTTACACACTTAGTTGCTGTTTGCTTACTGTCAGACAAAAGATGAGCACCGTATCCTTTCCATATTCCCTGATAACAAACCTGACAAGATCCATAGTCCTCGTCAACTATCTTGTTTTAAAATTTGGGAGATCGTAGTACAACCAAACCAAACAAGCTCTTGCAAAAACCACTCACTCCCTAAGCAAGGGCCTGTGCTGTAACTTCCCCAGAACACTGTGTTTCCACTTCCAGTGACTGGCCTTCTAATTCTGTCCCCTATCAGAGGAACAGAACATGGAAAGGATGTGCATATGCATATGTTTACCTTTTCCTAGGACATTTTCAAATTTAGTGCTGTCCCATGATCAAATCTCACGCTGTTCCCCATGTCTTCTTCCAACTGAGAAACGGCAAAGTCATCTGACTGGGGCTGTCCGTGTTTCTCAGACCTGCTTGTGTGTGCTGTGTGGCCTCTGAGTGGTGTGGCATGGTGTGGGTGAGCAGGCAGGAGGGCTCGGGCAGACTCTAAGGCACTTTACATCCAGTGGCAGGTTGTCCCCCCAGCACTCTCCACAGCAGGTGACCTGATGCTTCCTGGCTCCTTGTTCAGAGAGCTTGTCAGTGAGGGAGACAACACCGTCTGCATCTTCATTCAAACTGCTGGCTCTCTGATATGACAGGAACACATCCACCTCTAAATAGTTACTACCGTATTTCTTCTAAAGGTGCCTCTCTCTGCTCATTTGTTTTAAAGCCACACCAGTCTATCCAGTTCCAATGATGGAATGTTGCCCCTGATTAATATTAGGGGTTACTTTAAGCGTAAAGTTAATCCTTGTCCAATAGTTTCTCAGTGCTTTTTGCTTTAGACATCGGGTAGCTTACACTCTATCAGCATTTACCTTAACTACTGAGGCTACAAGGTGAAATTGCCAAAGATGTCAGGTAAGCTGCTGACTTAAGTTTCTGAGTGAGATGAAAAGTCATTATATCTTCACATTCAGAACTGTGCAGCATTTCCTACTATAATCTTAAGTGCAGACTCTGGAGGAATATGAGACAGAAGTTATGTGAGTATCCAAGAGTCTCAAAGACATTCTCCCTGGAAATACAAATATATAACAGAGTGGAGATCCTTGTTGGGGAGGGTGCTTCTTAGTCTGAATTGGATCTGTTAGCCTGTTAGAAAGGAGAGTTCTTGCAATAGAACATCTACTTACTGAGAGGTAGTATGGCAGTACATTTCAGTGCAAGACTGATCAAGATTTCTATATTTAGGCTCAGAGTGGTTAGGGTGCCAACAACATACACCAGAGCTGCCAAACGACAATGAAAGCTACAACCAAAAAATAGCCAGGCATTGTGGCGGGCACCTGTAGTCCCAGCTACTCAGGAGGCTGAGGCAAGAGAATTGTTTAAGCCCAAGAGTTGTCGGTTGCTGTGAGGTGTGACACCATGGCACTGTACCCAGGGCAACAACTTGAGACTCTTGTCTCTTTCTTTCTTTTCTTTTTTTTTTTTTTTTTTTTGCAGTTTTTGGCTGGGGCTGGGTTTGAACCCACCACCTCCAGCATATGGGGCTGGCACCCTACTCCTTTGAGCCACAGGTGCCGCCCCAAGACTCTTGTCTCAAAAAAATATATATATATATATTTGGGGAAAAAAACAGGCTTTTTCATGGAAATGAGATACTCCTTACTAGTTTATTGAATTAAAAAATTAAGATCTCACATTTTAAAAATGCCCTTTTACATGAAGAATTTCTTTTTTTTTTCTTTCTTTTTTTTTTTTTTAAGACAGAGCCTCAAGCCGTCACCCTGGGTAGAGTGCCGTGGCATCACAGCTCACAGCAACCTCCAACTCCTGGGCTCAAGCGATTCTCTTACCTCTGCCTACCAAGTAGCTGGGACTACAGGCGCCCACCACAACGCCTGGCTATTTTTTGGTTGCAACCGTCATTGTTGTTTGGCAGGCCCGGGCTGGATGCGAACCCACCAGCTCAGGTGTATGTGGCTGGCACCTTAGCCGCTTGAGCCACAGGTGCCGAGCCTACATGAAGAATTTATAATTGACAGATCTGGAAATCAGTCTGGATTAGGCATACTATGGATCAACACAGATGAGATTTCCTCATACCACTACCATGTCATGGATTTGACACCCTCCCTCAAAAGAATCCTATAAAAATTACTTGAAAGCCCCTTTGAAATTGCAATAGTGCAGCAAAACCACAAACAAACAATTGCGTATTAACCTGTTGTTTCAAATATAGAATGAAAAGCCAAAGGCATTTTTGTGTATGTGTGCAATTAAAAAGAAAATCACCAAATTGAAATTTCTAATCTGCACAGTGCAGTCTCCTTCATAGAAGGAAGGAAACTGCCAGCACATCATGTTGGAGGCCGTCCTGGTGCTGTAGGCTGTGAAAGTGGGCCTCCTGGCTCGGTGCCTGTGGCTCAAGTGGCTAAGGCACCAGCCACGTACACCCAAGGTGGCGGGTTCGAATCCAGCCCGGCCCGCCAAACAACAATGACAGCTGCAACCAAAAAATAGCCAGGCATTGTGGCGGGCGCCTGTGGTCCCAGCTACTTGGGAGGCTGAGGCAGGA